GTATGGCCACCTTTTGCAGCAATTACAGCAGCACATCTCTCTGGCATAGTGTCAATATATTTCCTGAGAACTAATGTTATCCAATGCCTTCTGAAACTCACGCAAAAGGCTTTCCTTTGAATGTACAATAGATCTGTCCAGTTTGTTTTCTAACTTGCCCCAAATTTGCTTGATGGGGTTGAGGTCCAGACTTTGAGGAGGCCAGTCCATCATTTTCAGTGTTCCAAGCAGATTCCTTCCATCGCAGGTAGTTCCAGTAATAGAACGTTTTATGGGTATTGTAATGGCCAATTTAACAAAAACAACTGAAACCTCTTAAATATGCCAAGTGTTCCAATAATTTTGGCCACCACTGTATATTATTAGAATTAGTTGTAGTAATAGTAGTATTAGCTTTATTATTATTATTATAAATAATACTTACTATTATTCAAAGCACAAAAAAAGTTATAGAGGTTGAAACAAAACATCGAGTCTCTCTGGCCTCCCCTTTTCCATTTAAAATTTCCATTTAATCAAAACTTTTTTTTTTACTCAAATATTCTCCCTCCTTGTGATTTAATTCATCTTTGCAAGAAACTCTCAAATTTTGAAATCAATACATGAGCCATTCTTGCTGAATGTGAACTTTAGTGCACATAAATTACAGATCATCTGTATGTCCAAATGGAAAGATGATAGACCGGTCCATATCTCTGCAGCGAGTGCACACGTGTGTGAGAGTTTGTGTGTCAGAGAGAGAGTTGTGTGGTACAGCTTGGTGTGATGTATAGAGTGGGTGGTGTTACCTTCTATTCAGGGAGTTTGTTGGGTAGGAGGTGGATGAGTCATGTGCAAACAATTATAACCAATTTTCAGTCGCTAAGGAACAAGGGGAAAGTGTCCTCTCCGCTTTAGTTTGTATGAGTGTGTTTTGCATCTTTGCATCTTATGCCCCTCTCCACTTCATTTATAAATCATTCAGTAATTATCCACTGCAATCTACCCAGAGCTCAGCGAGGAAGATAAGTTATGCTAATGTTGCTATTTGATTCACATTCTTTATCATTGATAAAATCCACAATGACAGCGAAAGATGAAGCAGTCTCACTGAGAAATAAAGTGGGATGGTGGATCTGGCTTGTTCCGGTAGCTTGTGCCGCTGCAAAAGAATCTTTGAATAAGTGCACCACAATCTGCTGTGTGTGCATTTTTTTTTCAGAAATGTCCATCCTGCAAATACGCCAACAGGTATGGCAAAGAGTTTGCTCTAAGTATAGAAAGTCCTGTTTCATTCAGGATTGGGCTTATACAGTAGAGGTGCTGCTGTGTATCTAGACAGAGGCATGGAAGTTATTTAATATACAGTATTTAGGCTTTGGCTTAACTGTTTGTTATGCTGCCAGAAAAACAAATACCGTTGTTTTTTTTTACAATTGTATTAATTAACCTTTTTTTAGACGGCTGCATTAATCCAAAAAGGGGGGGGAATGAAAGGAAAGAAAGAAGAAAAAAACATTTGTTTTCACTTTAAAATCAAAATGAATTTCATTCGCAACTCATTTTACTGTAGAACAAATTTCCAAAAACTTAAATGTGGGGTGGGAATTGAATCAAATTGTTTTTTTTGTTTTTTAATTTTAACTGAGATAGCGAGAACAAATTGGAATTTACACTAAAATTGAATGAAGTAGAATTTAATATCAATACACACTTTAAATGTTAGTGTGACAGCCTTGCTTGAAAGTTGTTAGTTTTTTAAAACTCTACCGTTAAAATGTTTGGGGTCGGTAAGATTTTTTTATGGTCTCATATGCTCAACAAAGCTGCATTTATTTTAATAAAAACAGTTATATTGTAAATTATTACAATTTTAAATAAATATTTTCTAATTTACAGTATTTCAAAATGCACGGTTTTCTTTTATGCAAGGCAGTGTCATATGATCCTTCAGAAATCATTCTAATATGCTGAATTGCTGCTCAAGAAACATTTATTATCAACGTTGAAAACAGTTGTAACGGGAAGTCAGACTCGATACACAGGTGAGTTAGAATCAAACAGACAGGTTTATTGTTCGGGATGGAGATGATCAAAGACTTTGTGAGTATTGCAGACAGAGTCTTGAACAGACTTGAAGAGGATACTTCCTTTTCCACTTGGTAGACCAGACGATGTGGCTGTGTGAACTGTGTTCTTATAGTGCTGTGTGGGTGATTGGTGAGTGACAGTCAGGTGTGTGTGATTAGTATTCCGGTGATTGTGAGCGCTGATAGGTGAAAGAGCCTGGTGTGTCCGTGACAGAACCCCCTTCTCCACGGCTTACTCCTGAGGGCAGAAGATACTGGCGTCGTGATGGGCGACCCCTACTGCGTGGAGCTGGATCGTGTGGATGGGAGGCATGGAATTCTGCCAACAGATTGGGGTCGAGGACGTCATCCCTTTGAACCCATGATCTTTCCTCTGGGCCGTACCCTTCCCAGTCTACAAGGTACTCCAATCTGCCACCACAACGTCGGGAGCTCAGAATCTCCCTTACGGAGTATGTTGTTCCGTCTTCCAGCACCAGCGGTAGAGGGGGGTCGTCTGTAGTGCCAGGCTCTGTGGGAACAGGGAGAACAGGTGGGTGATAGGGTTTGAGCAATGAAACATGGAATGTGGGATGAATCCTGTACTGTGATGGAAGTTTGAGTTCATACGTAACTGGGTTTATTTGCCGGATGACGGGGAAGGGACCAATATACCTGGGACTCAGCTTCTTACAGGGGAGGTGCAACCGGATGTCCCGAGTGGAGAGCCAGACTTCTTGTCCTTGCTGGAAGGAGAGAGCAGGGGCTCTCCGGACATCAGCATAATGTTGATGGCGTCTTACTGCCCGCTGTAGATGTTGGTGTGCCGAGTCCCAGACCCTCTCACTCTCCTGGAACCAATGGGTGACGGAGGGAACATCTGAGGGTTCCCCTGACCAGGGGAATAAAGGTGGCTGATAGCCGAGTACGCACTGGAATGGAGTGAGATTCGTGGAGGGTTGCCGGAGGGAGTTCTGTGCGTACTCGGCCCAGGCAAGGAACCGGTTCCAGGAGTTCTGGTGACCATGGCAGAAGGTACGGAGGTATCGGCCTATCTCCTGGATCTTTCGTTCCGTTTGTCCATTACTCTGTGGGTGGGGCATAGAGGAGAAACAATAATGTACAGTATGTGGAAAATAATGTGTTTTTTGAACTTTAAACCGCATAAACACATTTCATTACACCAAATACACAAAATAATGTTCTTTTTAGCAGCATCATATGACCCCTTTAAAACATTAATTTCTTTAAAAAAAAATTACTGACCCCAAATTTTGCACTGTACAGTAGGTATTTTAGACCAGACAAACGTACACTTGATTTCCAGAAAGCCATTACCTGTTTAATTGCAATTCGTTGATTTCCAGTTCCTGTCATTCCAATTTAAATTCCAATTCAACTTTGAGTCAAGCTGTATTTTTCTTTTGCAAAAACATGTACTGTTAAATTATACACAATAAAGCATACATTAAGAAACTAAAAATGATCTATAATGATTTCACGTCGACTCAGAAGTTTACATTTGCAGCTAGTAAGCCGAATAAAAAATGCTAAGCCATTACTCAGTAGCATCGAGAGCCTGTTCTGAGGGGCTTTTGGTGGGCTGTAATGGTATTAAAGTTGCATACAGCCTGAATACCAACTAAGTCAAGCACCTGACCTTAGACCCGATCTCACAACTGTTTTGTGTGTATTATTGTGTGGTAGTGGGGGGGTGAAAGCAATCTTGCAAAGTAAATTACCTGTCAAAACTGCAAATTTAACTTGTGGGAGAAAATGAAACAGCTGATCATTTCATTGAAAACATGCAGCTGTTTGTTTGTGTGTATGCCAGCTCACATGTCGTGAAAGTCTGACCTGCTTCTCGTTCTCGTCCTCTAGTTGCAGGCGCTGTTGGATGCAGTTTCTGGCCTGTAGGAAGGCCTTCCTCTGGGCGCGCTCAGTAAGGACTCGCACAAACACACCAGACAGATTCACGCCGACCAGCAACACTGCATTTGCTACCAGCTACAAACACAGAGAGAGAGAAAAATAACAGGGTTTGTGTGACTATTTCTGTTTATCAGACCATGCTGAAGGATTCTGACATTTAAACAACATTCGGCGACTGAATACGAACTTTCAGTGATTAGGAGTGGCGTACTGGTGGGTGCGTGTGTGTGTGTGTGTGTGTGTGTGTGTGTGTGCGTGTGAACGAGAGTGAAAAATGGGGGCAAAGAGCGAAACTAGCTTGAAGGAGAGACGGAAACAGATGCCGAGAACGGGGCCAGCAGGTTCATTTTTTTCAATCCATCCTGAGATGATAAACTTAAGCGCGGAGACGGACACAAACCCCACACGCTAGATAGCCTGAGAATCTCTACGGATTAGCTTCTGTGACCGAAAGAATCAGCAATTGCCTGGCTTTTGAGATATGTCACTTCAAACGGGCGCCTATTAAGGGCTTTGTATTGTTCATTCATAGAGCAACAGAAAATTTGATTACCCAGAATCCCTTCAATTAGTCTATGGATTCTTTTAACAGGCCCTTTGTAAATGAAAGTGAAGGCCATTTGCTAAATAGCACAAAGCAGTGACATTATTACAAATCCTTAGCAAGGTAATGAGGTTTACAAATTAGCTAACAAGGCTAATAAGCAATGTGGCCTATGGAAGCCTGTTTCTGCCATGGAATGAAAAAAAAAGGGTAATTGGGAATTTTATATCTCATAATTCAGACTTTTTTTCACAACTCTGAGAAAAAAAGAAACATGAAATATGAGATGAAATATGAGAAATATAAACTCAGATTTTAAACTTTCCCTCATAATTCTGAGCTTACATTTCGCAATTCAGGCCCTGTTTCCACTAGTGTGTTTTTGATTTAAAACAGCGTTTTAAAATTAAAATGATCCTCGTCTACACTGGCGTTTTCACTGCTTTTCAGAAAAGATCTCCATCCACACTACACAACCGAAAACGCATGTAACATGACCATTTGTGCCAGTAAAACAATGAGCATGGTGTTATTGTTTACACGGTCGTCACGGATATGCAAAGCGAATGTGGGCGGCCACGCCATCGATTTCAAAATTCTCCATTTTGGTCCGTTTACACTGAAACGCAACCCCAAAGTTTTCAAACTAAAACGGGGTCTGCAGCGTTTTCAAAAGTTTCCGTCTTGTTCTTTTTAAAAAAGGTAATTGCTAATATTTTATCTCACAATCCTGACAATTTTATTTAATTATATCTTAAAATGCAGACATTTCTTCTCAAAATTGAGAATTCTGAGTTTATACCTCGACATTCTGCAATTATATCTTGAAATTCTGAGTTTATCTCACAATTCAGACTTTTTTCCTAGCAATTCTGAGAAAAGGGAATTCAGAGATATAAAACATGCAATTTTGACTTTTTCTATAATAATTGCGAGTTTTAGAAGTTTGAATTTCAAGATATAAACGAATTCCAACTTTCTCACATTTTGTTTTGTCAGAATTCTGAGTTTACATCTTGCAATTCAGTTTTTTTGTTGTTGTTTCTGCTACAGAATAAAAAATAGAAAAGGTAATGGTGACTTTTTATCTCACAATTCGGACTTTTTTCGTAACTGCAAGTTTATATCTCACAATTCAGACTTTTATTCTCAGAATTGTGTGTTTATATCTTACAGTTCTGAGATTATATCTCACAATTATGAGTTTATATCGCACATTTCTGCATTTATATCATGCAATTCTGAGTTTATATCTCACAATTTTGTTTATATCTTGCAATTCTGAGTTTATATCTCAGTTTTGTTTATATCATGCAATTCTGAGTTTATATCTCACAGTTTTGTTTATATCTTGCAATTCTGAGTTTATATCTCACATTTCTGCATTTATATCTTGCAATTCTCAGTAATTTCTGCGTTTATATCTTGCAATTCTGAGTTTATTTCTGCATTCATATCTTGCAATTCTGAGTTTATTTCTGCATTTATATCTTGTAATTCTGAGTTTATATCTGACAAATTTGTTTATATCTTTCAATTCTGAGTTTATATCTCACAGTTTTGTTTATATCATGCAATTCTGAGTTTATATCTCACAGTTTTGTTTATATCTTGCAATTCTTGGTTTATATCTCACATTTCTGCATTTATATCTTGCAATTCTGAGTTTATATCTGACAATTTTGCTTATATCTCTCAATTTTGAGTTTATATCTCACATCTGAGTTTATATCTCAATTTTGAGTTT